ATCAAGCAAGCATGCAAAACATCTGTTGTAGAAGGGAGTTGTGCAAGCTCAAGGGAAATAAACGCCAAAGCTAGCCTCTTTCTGACTGGGGAGGCCAGTGTCACAACGCCAAGAGCCCTTGTCTTCTCAGAGGAATCAATCTCACCTCCAATGATCTTGGCTTGATCCGCATCTACAACATCCTTGGCATCTGACCCCATCAGTCCTTGGGCCTCATAGCATGCCTTGGCTGTCTTAAAGGCTCTGACTGCTTTTGACAATTGGCCTCCCTCGCCAACATCTTGTACGGCAACAGAAAAGAAATCATCAATAACCAAACCTTGCAAGGCTGAGGTTCCCCTGAAGGTAGAGTCTGATCGGAGCTCTTCATGCGCAGAAAGGAGGCCACGAGAAGAGAGAAGGTTCCTATGGGCATCCGTAGCGAACTCTACTCCTAAGTGATCTCCCTGAGGCAATGAGCAAAAACATGGTTGAAGCAGGCCACCCGGCTGAGACCGAGTCGTCATTGCAAAGCCAAAACCATCGCCATGCCTTCTACGATCATACCTCTGCCTTTTTGACCTCCTGCTGAACTCATCAAACGCATGCAACTCGAAAACATCTTCTGACTTCAGCAAGGGCCAAACTGCATTTGATGCTGCTCTCTCTTCTGTAACCTTGAATTGGTGGTAAAAATCACGCCTGTCTGAAATGCAAACTGATACTCTCTGAAGCCTGGGGCAGACCTCCAAAACTGAGAGCATGTGAGCACTTGGCAATGCCCTGGAGACACCAGGGATGCGGCCCTCTCGCCAGTTCATGCGGCGTCTGTCGCCAATCATCCTGTCGCAGTCTGCTGCCTTGTAATTGTTGAAGAAACGCATGGCCCCTTGACGCCAATCATAGTCGTCAGGGACCTTCCTCAAAAACAAAAGCCCTTTGACATCCCAGAGCTTTGCCAGCTGGAGCGTGGTGTCATACTTCTCCTTCGATAGTGTGGGAACATCACTGACCGGGATCTCGTTGGTCCAAATCAAACTGGCTGGCTCGACGTACGCAAGCCATAGAGAGTCTGAAAGATATTCTTGAGGGCACCATGAGGCAGTCCCAGTAATCTTGAGCCTGGCAGGATCAAGGTCTCTGTAGGGCCTGAGCTCGTCGGCCTTGTCAAGGTCGCGGGGCACGCTGATGGCCTCTGCAAGACCTCCCGCAGCTCCCTGAAAGCCCCTCTGGTACCCATCGCCAGCTGCACCTTCCCAAGTGAGCACCTCACCCAAGTCAGTGAGAAGGCCAATAAGAGATGTGGTTCTACGGCCACTGCTAGGCACATCAAAGGTATCCGAGCAGCTACCGAAGGCCCTGACCAAATTGCGCAGCCGTGCCAAAGTGGCCAGCTGTGATGAAGAGGGCGTCAAAGCTATGGCCTCAATTGGCACGAACCTGAAGTCAGAGTGGAGGTAGTTCAAAGCCATAATCACAATGTGAAAAGCTTGATCAAAACTCCTCTTCACTCTTTCTCTTGATCCACAATGCTTGGTGACTTGGTGCAAAAGGCGCCAATCTTTGGAACAGGCAATGGAAAAAGGGCCCTGTCAGAAGCAACATGCATGCTCCTGTCAACATGGAGGGTGATCTTCAGGAACTCAGCAAAGGGAGTCCGCGACCTCAAAACATACGTGCAGAGCTTCTTGCACCACACATCAAAAGAAAAAGATTGCATCGTGCTCCACTTCGGGGGCTTGGCTAATTTGCACCTGGCAGGGACAGACCCCGGAACAGAGGTGCTCTTGCATTTCTCACTCTGGCCCTTTGGAGATGGCCTCTCAAAATCATCCTGCCTATCTGCCTCAACTTCGCGAGCGTGCCCGGACATGCAAGCATCCCCAGGCAGTGAAGGGAGCACGCCCTGGGCCTTGGGGCCCCGAGCCACCTCACCTTCGCCAGCAAGGAGCACATCCTGGCCGTCAGGTCCAAGGAGTGCATCCGGATTGCAAGCAGGGAGCCCACCCCGAGGTTGCACCCCCAGAGTCACCTCACCCGCGCAGCTGGCAGGCTCAAGCGAAGGACCACAAGTCTCAGGTCTGGCAGCTAAGCATCTTCCCCTTTTTCGCCCTTGGAGGTTCCCTTTGGCTTCTTTGGCGTCCGAGGGGGCCGCTTCGGAGGCTCCTTCTCCTCCTCCTTCTTCGCCTTCTTTCCTGGGATTGCTTCCTGTCTGCGTGAGTTGATGATGTCCAACTCCTTCACATAGCTCAGCGACGTCGCCGCCCATTCCGCTGGGCATAAAGGGGCAAACGCCCGAAGGCGTGGGTTGGAGGATGCCGGTCTCGTGCCAAAGACCCCGGCAGGAGGGTCCTCCTGCAACGAGAGGAGCCATGCGACTTCCCATTTGCCTCCGTCTTGGGCTGCCTGCTCTATGGAGGTCATGGTCAATGCGAGCATCTCCATGGCTCCCATGGGATCGCCCTGCACCATCTGATCCGCCATCTGGCATAGCAACCACATAATGAGCCCCAGGTCCCGGTTCGCAGAATATCCACCATGACGTTCCAAGTACTTCGCAAAGAGAGGTTTCCCTTGGAAGTCTTCCAAGCTCTGTGGCACAGGCTCTGAGGGCCGGAGTCTGCGAAAGGCATTCTGGGCTACCTTCAGCATGAAGTTTCCCTTCCTGGATGCCAAATCGTTCAAAAGCTTCTCCCGCCTTGCAGAGCCTTTCATAGAAAGGGAAGTGCCCGATCCAGTTCCTGCCAGATCGTGATATCCATCTTGAGATGCCAAATGCGCTACCAGCGTTGTGAGGGCTTGAGATTGTTGTAGAAGCATCTGCTGCACGCTGCCGCCCTCTACCTCCGCCTGAGCCGCCAACCCCATCTGTTCCATGAAACCTTCTTCGCAAGGAGCAGCGGTTGGTTCGTCTCCTAAGGAATTTCCTCCAATCAAAGCATTTTGAGGAAGGCCTGTCCCTGGAGTCTTTGCCTTGGGGGGTGGGCCTATCTCTTGCATAAACTTCGCAACGGCTGGGAAAGGAGCCTTTGGAGTATGGATGGGAAAGTCCTGCCTGTAGGCTGGCACCCTCTCCTGAGCTCGGGCAGAAGATAGCATGCTTTCCAGCTGAGTCTGCTTGTCCTGGAGCGAAGTCAGCTGTTCCAACACAGCTGGGAGAGTACCTGCAATGGCCGATACTTGTTCTGCCAGGCTCGCCGTAGTGACCTTCTTCGATGCCTTTTTGGGCGCAGGTGAGGCCTTGGGTGATGCCTTCATGATCCCTTCCTCCTCGACTGCTGTGTAGAATCCAACACGGTCCTCTGCCGACGTCTGAATCCAGTTCAAGGCAGTCTCCAGCAAGGGTTGAGGTGATGGGTAAGTCTCTACTGAACTTTCGTAGAAACACAGGGTCCCCTCGCCTTCGGTCACAGGGTCGAAGAGACGAATATAGTCTGCAATGCCCACCCCGACGTCGATCAGGATGACTTCCAGATCTAAGCCCAAAACTGTCTCTGACCCATCCTCCTCCTCGAAAACTGCTGGGACCACCACCGCTGTATTCGGCCCCAAGAGATCTGTGGGAGCTGCTGCATTTGCCTGATCCAAGGTCTCCTGAAAGAGAAACCCCTTTGGAACTGCCAGCATCAGTCCATCCCTTCTCTTCAAAACTGGAACCACCAAAGTCTCTCCACTGTCTGGGACCACCGCAAGATCGTTCGGAGCTTTCAGGATGTATTGGAACGCAAGCCCCTGGTCGACCGTCTTGATGGCCTTCATCCTCATTGCCAGACTGCTCATGGTGCCTCAGGAGGAAGACTAATTCCAATCGCCAGGCAATAGACTGTGGCTTCTGCCAGCGAAGGGAATCCGTGACTGATGCTGCTCTCTGTGAACTTTGGGACAAGCTGATAGTAGGCTGCGGCTGAACTGACCCTAACAGGATGCTGCACGCCAGGACCACGCACCACAATGTAGACTGTGGACTTGACCTCAATCTTGGGCGTAGGTCGAGGTTTAGGGACCCTTTCGTCGATGACCGCCTTGGCCCACTGTCCAGCTTCCCACGCTCTCTGCACACGGAACTTGACAAACTCCACAGTGCCTGACAACCTGGAGCAAATGTCAAAGCAGTGTTGAGGTGCCTTAGTAAGCAACAAGGCCACCTCGTTGTAGCAGGAGCTCTCAGATACTCGTGAAGCAGACTGCACAGTAGATGGCTCAGATGGAGCTGCTGAAGCAGCAGAATCAGTAAGCAAATCCCAATCAGATGTCCTCTGGGAGGCAGGTGCTCTAGGCCCAGAGCGAACGCGACGACTTTCCTCGTGCTGATCTTGAACAAGAGCTGACTCCAAAGAATCAGCGAGATGGCGGAGGGTCAGAATGGCTTGGCGGATGGTGAATGCCAAGTTGCCACCCTCGCTCATGCAAGTAAGCAGCAAGCCGGTGATTTGGAGCAGGTGAATCAGAGGCAGTAGGTGAAGGGCGAGGATAGGGCAAGGGATATAAGAAAAAGAGTGCCAAAAGTCCAAGCACTGTGAGGGCCCCAAGTCCAAACCCCGCAATGAAGATGGAGGCAAGTAAGGGGACACTCGCAGAGCAATGAGCAGGGCACCAAATCCCAAACCAACTAGATCCCGATCCTAGAAGCAGCAGCCTACCTACCTCAGAAATCCACGGATGCATTGACTTGAGCATTTCACAGTGCAGAATTCGAAGTTACGTGTCATATATATATATATATAGTGCGAAAAATTGTCCTTCAGGAGGTTGGAAGTCGCAAAGTCGGAGGCATGCCCCTGTCTGCTTTGCTAGATGTTTCAAACAAAACACATTTTGCGCTGACCACAAACAACTTCCTGGTTTGCTGGTATGTTTCCTGGTTTCCCAACTTCCCTTCTACTAAAGTGAGTAGCACAACAAAAACAAACTAAGGTCAATAAAGACCACCCCAAACCCGAACGGAAAATTGGGGCATGGATGATTGTTTGGGTTAGCGCATTCCCAGTGATTTTTTGCCCTTCACTCACATGCGAAGGCACCAAAGTGTTGGAAGTGTGTCGACCGACTCTTGCACCTTCCTGCGACGCCAGTCAATCTGTAGATGCATGGATAGACATGCATGTTCAAATCTAGAATATATGCATGTTCATACACGATACATGATCAACATGTATCTATTCGTTTATTAGGTCCCAAATCGTGCATGTTGACCTAGTCTCCCTCATGTTTCTATCCGCAGCTCGGACTGGTGTCCGCAGCACAACTTCAGTCACTGCTACTGGGGGGTTTACCCATCCCAAGTTCCTTCTGTTGGTGCTAAAATGGTTCAAATCTATTTCAATCCCCATGTTTTCCTCAAGACGTCCCCAAGAGCACCCCCAGTTTTGAGGCATTTCATATCGGGGTGGGGGTCAAGAGCTAGGAAATTTGGCTACGAATGGTGGGGGGAACATTGAATCCGCAACATTCCAGAACTACCAGCTGAAACCAGGTATCGGGATTTTGATCTAGCCATATATCCAAAGGCCACATCACCATGGTGGTGTCTCACCATTTTCTACACCACCATTTTGGTTCATATTCTTTGGGTGGGGTCTTACCGTTTAGCATCAATCCCATCCCTTTAATACTAAATACATATGGGACACCAGTTCATGAATCGATGCAATCGTAAACCAACCGCTTCAACAGGAAATATTTCATATTGGAAAGGACTAACAATATGATAACCTAGAGATATAGAGAATCTCCACCATTTGGTTCATTTTTTGTCTGGTTTCTACAGCATTTACCGCTCTCCCAGCTCCTCCCCAACCGTCAGGAAGGTGCCCTCCAGCGGCCCGTCGGTGATCTGCAGCTCCAGGCGATGACCTCTTCGCAGCTTTGAACGCTGCTCGATGTGGTTAAAACAATCATAGACCATCCCCAAAATCCCCATACATGGATATAAATGGGTGGTATAAACCATCAAAAATGGGTTGGTTTATCATTGTCTTACCCACATTATAGAAAGCTCACTAATCCTTAATAAATCCAGATGCATTGATGTTTTGATTATCTATAAGGCACCATGTCCCGCCAACAGATAGGCCCTGACATGCGTTGGGGTTTGGAGACAGCTTTGCTCCAAACATTGGCGAACGAGCTGATTCTCAACATCTATATCCGCCGACCCCAACGATGAGCAGGGGGAGCGCGTCAGAGAAACGTGTCGTTCCGGCACTGTGCTTGCTGGGTTTGACACTTTCATTTTTCTCGGGCTCAGAAAGTGACGTTAGACAGTGCGGTCTGTGGCCTGGGAGGGCCGGTGAAACCTTGAGCTGGGTGCTGTTTCCCCGTTTCGGAGGGTTTCCAATGCTTGCTGGCTAAGTTGTTCTTGGACGTGCTTGCAGGGCTTGACACTTTCATTTCCCTCAGGTTCAGAAAGTGGCGTTAGACAGTGCGGTCTGTGGCCTGGGAGGACCGGTGAAACTTTCACCTGGGTGCTGTTTCACTACCACTACTACTACTACTACTGCTGCTGCTGCTGCTGCTGCTCCTCCTCCTCCTCCTATCTATCTATCTATCTATCTATCTATCTATCTATCTATCTCTCTCTCTCTATCTATCTATCTATCTATCTATCTATCTGCCTATCTATCTATCTATCTATCTATCTATCTACCTATCTGTCTGTCTATCTATCTGTCTGTGTATCTATCTATCTATCTGTCTGTCTGTCTATCTATCTATCTATCTATCTATAGTAAGTAACCAGCAGATAGGATAAAAAGTTGGCCTTCTTTTTTAAAAAAAAATGTCAATATCAACCCATTGGGTAAAGAATTTGCAGATATAATATTTTAATATTCTATCTGCTGGTGCTATGGTGTTTACAAGGATTTTGGTGATTTTGGATGGATTTCAATGTGGAGTTTCCTTAAGATTGTGTGCCAGCTCTGTTGGCATGCAAAAATATACCAATTAGTTGCAGTAAATCACACACAAAATCATTGAAATTGTTCATTTTAACCTGAATTGGTTGCAGGAAATGGTACACATAATCATTGACATGGTTCATTTTAACTTGATTTAGTTGCAGGAGTGATGGGAAATTGTCTATTTCAACCTATTGGGTAAGAATAATATTCTATCTCTCTGCTTTTTGTCCTATTCTATCTGTTGACCTGGCAATCCTGAATTTTCTATCTGCTGGTTAATTGCTATACTATCTATCTGCTATCTCCTATCTACTATCTCCTATCTACTATCTCCTATCTACTATCTACTATCTGCTATCTACTATCTACTTTCTACTGTCTGCTATCTGCTATCTGCTATCTGCTGTCTTTATCTGCTATCTGCTATCCGCTATCCGCTATCTGCTATCTCCTACCTGCTATCTGCTATCTACTATCTACTATCTACTATCTACCTACTACCTACTACCTACTACCTACTGCTTACTACCTACTACCTACTACCTACTTACTACTTGCTACTTACTACTTACTACTTTCTACTTACTACTTACTACTTACTACTTTCTACTTACTACTTACTACTTTCTACTTACTACTTACTACTTACTACTGACTACTTACTACTGACTACTTACTACTTACTACTCACTACTTACTACTCACTACTCACTACTCACTACTCACTACTCACTACTCACTACTCACTACTCACTACTCACTACACACTACTCACTACTCACTACGAACTACGAACTACGAACTACGAACTATGAACTACGAACTACGAACTACCTACTACCTACTACCTATACTACCTACTACCTATACTACCTACTACCTATACTACCTACTACCTATACTACCTACTACCTATACTACCTACTACCTATACTACCTCTACTACTTATACTACCTATACTACCTATACTACCTATACTACCTATACTACCTATACTACCTATACTACCTATACTACCTATACTACCTATACTACCTATACACCTATACTACCTATACTACCTATACTACCTATACTACCTATACTACCTATACTACCTACTACTACCTACTACTACCTACTACTACTACTACTCCTCCTCCTGCTGCTGCTGCTGCTGCTGCCGCTACTACTGCTGCTACTGCTGCTACTACTACTACTACCACTACTACTACCTACTACTACTACTACTACTACCACTACTACTACCACTACTACTACCACTACTACTACCACTACTACTACCACTACTACCACTACTACTACTACTACTGCTACTACTACTACTCCTGCTACTACTACTACTACTACTACTACTACTACTCTACTACTACTACTACTACTACTACTTCTACTTCTACTTCTACTACTACTAATAACCAACTACTACTACCTACTACTACTACCTACTACCTACTACTACTACTACTCCTCCTCCTCCTCCTCCTGCTGCTGCTGCTGCTCCTGCTGCTGCTGCTGCTGCTTCTGCTACTCCTGCTGCTACTACTTCTTCTCCTACTACTACTCCTCCTCCTACTCCTCCTCCTGCTGCTGCTTCTGCTGCTGCTACTACTACTACGATGACGACGACAACTACGACTACTTCGACTTCGACTTGGACTTGGACTTCAACTACACTACATTACACTACACTTTCTGCACTACACTACTGTACAACTACAACTACAACTGCAACTACAAACTAGAACTACATTACACAACACTACGCTACACTAATTAGACTACACTACACTACATCTACAACAACATTACATTACACTACACTACGCTACACTAATTACAATACACTACGCAACAACTGCAGCAACAACTACAACTACAGTACTTCACACTACACTACGCTACGCCACACTAGACTACAATGCACTACAGTACACAACACTGCAGTACACTACACTACACTACATTAACAATAAATAACAAACACGAATTATACCACACCACAACAACAACTGCAACTGCAACTACAACTACACTACACTAATTATACTACAGCACACTAATTACACCACACTACAACTACAACTCCACTACACTACAACTACAACTACATCTACTGCTACAACTGCACTACACCACACTACATCCAGCAGTTGTGGGTGATGTGACCAAAAAACACAACTCAACTCCAACCACCTTTCGGTCCATCAATGGATTCGCTCTGCCATCCATGCATCACAGCAACTCACCTCTCCTATAGCGTCCTATCTTTGAAACTTTCGCCACGGCCTTGAGCGGTACTACTGGTATTCAAGAAGGAATATAAGTTCCGACGCCAAAAGAATTGTAGCTGCCAGTTCCTGCATTTTGTTTCATCTTTGATTGGACATCCTGCACAAATGTTGAAAACGATGACTTTTCGATCAGCTTCAGTACCTCACTTTGCGAAGGTGGGCCCCTGATCCCTCCACGTTCTTCATCATTCTTTCCCGCAATATCATGCTTGTGTCCTGGGCACTGGGCACTCACGAAACGGCTGGGATGTGAGATGTTCATCTTCTCTCGTTGGCAGGTGTCAATCCTCATTACACATAGTGGAAAAGCGCGTGGCTCCAAGAAAATGGTCCAAGTTGAATCCATCACACGAGCGAAACATGCTAATCAATGCCACTTGGATTTTTCAAGCCGTTTAGCTGTTTGGCCCAGAGATGTCCGGTATTAGGATTTGCTTAAAGCTTGAAAGTTTCAACCTGTGGGGAGGGAGATAGCCGTTTCTGGTCTGGACCACTCACGTCCAACAGCATTTCATTTTGCTGCAGTTCTTCGCTCCGCCAGCATATGAAAAATCAGTACGACAGCCATACAAGTCCGTGAGCCCTGTTAATGACGGCTGGGTTTTCTGGTGGGCGGTGAACCAAAGACCATTTTTTATTTACCCATATGAGCTGTTCAGGCTTATCACTGACCACCAGCAAGTTTTGCACATACACAGCGAGCGTTAATATGGACATATCATGACATATCCTCAAGGTCTTATGTCAAAACATTCCCAATATCAGCGCAGCGTGGTGGTGATAGGCAAAAACACGCCACCAACTCAAACCAGGAGGAAATTGCCACACAATGCACAAGTTCGTTTTTTGTCCGTCACTGCCGCTAACAGTGGGAGGAATCATCTTAATTGGCCAAGTATTTGTCGGCATGGCTGGGCCAGTGCATTTGAAAATTCCCCCAAAGAATGGCACAAACAAAGAAAACAAACTTGACCAAAAGGGATGTGGTGAGCGTTCTGGTGAGCATTCTACCAAAATGATGACCATAACCCCACTGGTGGTCATCATTTTGGAATCAAGACCATGGTCGTCATATGATGACCATAAGATGACCACCAGAACGACCATGGTCATCATTTTAACAATGACCACGTGGTCATCATATGGTCATCATATTACCCCTGTTTTCGACACTTTGATGACCATGGGTTTACCCGCTTAGGCAAAGAACGACCATGGTCATCATCCAAAACACCTAGCGTCACAGGGCCCACGACCCCCCCCAGCAAAACCCCCCCAGAAGTATGGTAAGGTATGGATAAGGATGAAACGGTTGATAAGGGCCAATCAGTGGTGTAACACATTCTTAATAAATGCTTATTAGCGATTTGTGGTTAAGGGCTGAATAAGGTCTTGATAAGAGATGGCATTTCCCAAGAAAAATGAAATTTCACTATTAGAGCCTTATTAAGAGAAATCTTGTTTTGGGGGGTGTTGTCCAACCAACAAGACAAAAAAACGGTATTAAACCTTTAATAAGAATAACGCATTCCAAAACCAATTTTAGCACCAATAAATCACACAACCTTAATAACAGTTTATTAGGGAACTCTGATTTCTGACACTTGCTCATGTGCGTTTTTCTGGCGACACAACCTTACAAAGATAGAAAAAAATGAATAGCATTGTG